ACACCCAACTGACTAAGCCACACTGGTCAGGGCCTCAGTTCTTTTTTCTAACATATTAATAGTTATAATCCATATAAGGAAAAGCTCTTTGGTATCTTCGATAATTTTTAAAAATGTAAAGGGGTTCTAAGATCATAAAGTCTGAGAGCCACTACCCTAGGCTCAGACATACTTGCCCTCTCTTCTTGCCAGTTGCCTGTGTCTTTTTTTTTTTTTTTTTTAATCACAGGGTCAAACAGGGAGGTTTAGACATGGGGACGAGGTATGTGCGGTGGTCTCGTGGTTGGGACTAGCATCAGGGGTAGAGATGGAAATTGGGGGTTCTAGGGTCTGCTGCTTTTAACTTTCAGGTGATGTCTCCACAGGATGGGGTGATTGCTAAAAGAGGGTATTTCCCTTGAGGTCCCTTAAGAGTTAGAGAATAAGGTCTTACATATACCCTACTCCAGGACACTCATAGCCTCTAAAGCCAGGGTTTCCCCCCCAGAATCAGCAATCAGAAAAGTTTCCTAGGTAGAGCCAGACTGGTCACCAGGAACTCTGGGGCCAAGGTCTGATGCAGAAAAAGATGACTTCACTTCAGGCAGTCTGCAATCTGATACAGGCAGAGGTCTAACCCTAGAGGAGCCCCTGTGTAATGAGGGAAACAGGATGTCCCTTCCAACATCACCATTGCATTGAGCATCCTGGGCAAAGTTACAGACACAAGGGACAATCAGGATGCTGAGGAGAAGGGGGTACAAGATGACAGAGCAGATAGGGAAACAGAGGAACGGAGACTGGCAGGAGGGGTAGGACTCAGAGTGACCTATGTGAAAGCTTTGAGTGGGAAAAAGAGTGTGGCTCAGAATTGTCATCGAATATATTCCCCTGGAACAAGATCTGAATGGGGCAGTCCCAAAAAAATGGGGGTGTTGGAGGGGACAGGGGGAAGACTTACATAAAGTATCCTGAAGACTACAATTGGGAGTTTTCATCTCAAAACCAACAGGGATATACAGGTAGGAAAGGCGCAAGATAACACTGATTCTTCATGGTGACAATTTCAATGATAATTCTGTGGTAGAGAGGGAATCAAGGAGAGAGACAGGTTAAAGTTAGGGAGGTCATTATGTGGGCATGCAGACTTAGGAGAAGGACAAGCTGACAGAAGAGGAGGGTACATACACCTGAGAAAAGGTGGGAGGGGTGGGGGAAAACTAGGCAGGGAGAGGAACAGGCAGGGTTATTGTGGGGGGAGGGGCGAGAGGTGGGATAGAGAAGCTGAAAGAGAGAAGTTGTTCAGAATGGGGAAGGAGACTGTCTGGGGGAAGAAGCTCAACAGCTCAGTCATTGAATCTGAGTTGAGATAGACATCTGCTTGGTGAAAACTTCGGGAGAAAGGGGCTATGAGTGTGGGGACTCAGGCCCTGGTGCTGGTCAGCCTGTTGGAATAAAGACAAGAATCTCATCTTAAACTACATAACTCTCCCACCTTCTCAAACTCTAGAAGGGTCGGGGGATGGAGACCTAGAACCTCAGAAAAACCACAGTGAAGGGCTGGGGCAAAGTCCAGGAGCCAGGGAAGGACAGAATAGAAAGAGTCAGAGCACTTTCTCCAGGCTAAGCACCATTCCAAGTGCTTTACGAATATTGACTCTTTCTGTCCACAACTATTATTAACCCTACTGTAAGGATGAGGGGACTTGTGTAGCTAAATGGTGAAACCAGGATTTAAACCCAGGAAGTCGGACTTCAAGGCTGTGCTCTACCACTATGTCTATTGCCTCTCAGGCATAGCCAGAGCAGAAAGGACTCAGGGAGAGCACTGTGGCATGGGACAGCCATCCAGGAGAGGTCTCTTGACAGCTGCCACAATAATCTCTGCACTTATTTGAGCTTCACACCTCCCCTCAGAAGTCTACATGATGGGCATTTTTGTTTTGGGATTTTTGGTTTTTGTTTTGGGTCCAGAAGATGGTCTCCCTTTCTTTCCCAATATTCATTTTAGATTTCTTTCCTTTTATGAGAAGTGCTTCCTGAAATGTAACCTAAGCTCTTCCAACTGCAGCCTCACTCCTTTTCCACGTCTTCTGCCACTGGAAGAGGAGCAGATGGCCATTAAACATGATTTCTATGTTTTACCTTTTTAGAGGCCTGAAGTGTTAATTCAGGTCTTTCAGGGTCCTGCTTCTTCAACCTCTTTCTGCAAGCCACATAGTTCAGTTCTTCTCTCCCACATTCCAGAGCCAGTCCCTCCCACCTCCCCACCACCTCAACTCCAGCTCCAAGCTGGCAGACACCCACGGGAGAGTTTTTCCCACAATCCCTTTCTATTTGCCCTTTCATGGTTCTGATGGGGGGAGGGAATAAAGAGGGGACACTTAGATACACTGTCTCCATGAAGAATGGTGGCAGCACATATATTTAACTCAGATGAAGGAAGATTAGCCTGTGGTGCAGTGGGGTGATGTGGTAAACTCAAAAAGCTCTGATTCCCAGCAGCTGCCTGAGCCAACCACCCTTCATTGGGTGCTTTTAAAACACTTGGATTCCAGTCTTCCTGCCACTTCATCTCAGTGGTGTGCCTCGCATGATCTCTACCCCCTTCCAGGGCCTCACCACTGTCCTGGACAGCTTGGCCTCAGACTGGACAGTAACACTGACCAGTCAGGCAAGAGAAGAATCTAGGCCAGGGAAGGGAGGGAGAGTGGAGGTTTTTTCTTCTGTCCTAAATAGCCCTTGGCAGGAGAGTTGAGGGGTGCCGTTGCCCAATGTCTCTTTCCCTTCCCACTGGGGGCTCAGCCTATCTTCTATCTTGTGTACATTTTGCTAGGAGACCCAGAAAGCCTTTTTCCTCTGGAGGAAGTGGGTGTTCCCACATGACTCACCCACCACCCCAGAGCCCTAAACCCCTTATCCCACCAATCCCAGGATGACCACGGAGGACTTCATCTGAGCCCACTCAGATCCTAGTGTCCCAGCCTCACTGGTCCCTAGGGATGACAAGGGAAAGAGGCTCTGGGTCTTCTGCCAGGCTCTTCCCTTGCAGCCCAATCCAACCAGGCTGGAGCTCATGTACAGAAGGGCACAGGTGCCATTCAGTGGGACACAGGGAAGAGGTGGAGGATGCCAAAGGGCAGACAACAAATCATATGTGTCAATAGAATGGATGTGGGCACAATGTTGAGGAGACAGAGTATTTCTTCAGGGTAGGGGCGGCAGTGGGATTCTGCATTAGAATCACAGAAGGAATGGAACCATAACCCTGCCTCCCCCCTCCACTCAGTAGAGTCATTGCCATTTGATATCCACTGAGACAAGTTGGCTGCTCCAACTCCGGGTGGGGGCTGGGGGATGGCTCAGAAAACAGCAGCTCCTTTCAGGGCCCAGGTTGGCAAGGGCTTTGGGAGGCTGGACTGGCCCAGATCACCCCCCCAATACCTCCTCTCTCCCTCCCTCGCCACCACCACCGAAGAACGGGGTGGGGGCAGTGCAGGGAGGAGTTGGCACTGCCTGGGCCATGCCTATTGCCTCCACAGACCAGCCCTGGCCCTTCTCCCTGGGGTAGCGCCTTCCCTCCCCCTCCTTCCACATTTCCTTCTCCATGAAAAACCAGCTATGAGCCAGGACACCTGCTTTCTTCTACACTTGGTCCCTCATACCCTGCCTATACTCTTAGGAATTAAAAAGCCCTACCCTTCAGCACAGGATGGTGCCCTCCATCATGTCAGGAACATGTTTAGAAATCTTTGGAGATCAGAAAAAGGGGGTTTGGGATGAAACTAAATGGAATTCAGCGGTAGCTGCTGGCTCCTCCTCAGGCTGGCCTGGACAACCGCTCCAGGCCCTCGTCAGCACACTTAAGCAAGGGGCATTCCTCACAGAAGGGCACCGAATATCCCATCACCGTCTCCCTCCCACCCAGAACGGCCTCAAAGCAGTCTTGATGGGGGAAAAGAAAAATCCAAACCCCACAACCAAGGCAGACCAGCCAAAAATCTTTAGCCAGAAATTGTATTGATGAGCAACATAATCAGCCTTTAAGCCTTGGCCTTCTTTGGGTCCAAATTTGTACTGGCTTCTTCAGCAACCTCAGTTCCCCATCTCCCTCACTCTGCCTGGGATGTTTCATTAACAAGAATGAAATCTCAAGAGAGGCCCTGAGCCCACTTTTGCCCAGCTTTGTCCTTCCACGCATCCCAGCGTTCAGCTCTCCTCCCCCTCCCCCAAATCAGGAAGTTCCCTCATTGCTTTCCTAACACAGGTGCCCTTGGTTAGTTCCTGACGGGGAGAAGGGATGGGATGGGAAGGTCATCTCCATCTGAAGGTGAATGATAGAGCCCAATCTGCCCTTCTTCCTCTAGCTGCAGTGGTCCTGCTGCTTTCCTCCTGGGGATCTCCGTGTGAAACAGCTGGGGGAGGGGAGTAGTAATGAGGAGGGGTGTCTTGAAGTGGAAGGCAAGTCGGAACTGAGGGAAGAGACTGGGTGGGCAGGGGTCCCGGGCACACCAGGTTACTGAGGATTCCTAATCCGGGCTGTGTGCTTTTCTTTCCATTTGTGAACTAGTGATAAGTGGGTGTCCCTGGGTGAGTGTCACTGTGTGGGGAGGGGACAGGGGCTGGGCATGGGACTGGGAGTAACCTGATGATCCCGGGAAGAGGGGGCGCTGTCTGGAGCGCCAGTGTGGGGGCGCATGGTTACAGGTGATGGTCACTGTATTTGTTGGAGGAGCTGTGATGCCAGCTGCAGAGCCGCCCTGTGGGAAGGGGCATAAGGAAAGCCCTTTCCTTAGCCTAAAGGGCTGAGGTAGCCAACTTGGCTTACCTTCTGCGAGCCCTTCCCAGGAGGGTCAGTGAGGGGCCGCCTATGGCAGGAGGCTGAGGAACAGAGCCATTCCGCTGTGACAAGCTAGGGTAGAGACCGAGGGGCTTGGGGCCCCGATCTCCCTGGAGAGTAAGGAGAACAGGACCTCGGCCGGGCGGGAGCACTCCCTCCCTCATTAGGGCCAGGGGCTTACCTTGGGTCCTTGTGGAGTGGCCCTTCAGACGGGCAAGCAGGACTGACAGGTGGACGGGGAGGGCAGGAGTGAGGACGGAGCTGTGCGACGGGCAGGGCCGGGACTCTTAAACCGGAGCTGGGATCAGATAAGGGCTGGTCCGGGGGCCGGGGCCGGGGTCGGGCCGGCTGGGGGCAGAGCTGGGCCGGGCCGGGCCGCCCCCTCCCTCCACAGCTCCCGAGCCAAACTTTGTGTGAATGGAGGGCCCGAAGTGGGGCCGGGCGGGCGGGGCGGGAGTCTCGGGACCAGCCAACGGGAGCGTGGAGCGCCAGGCCCGCGCCTCAGGGATTGGAGGGGCTCTGGCAGAGGGCGGGGCGAAGGGAGCGAGGGAGCGGAGCCCAGACCAAGGGAGATGCAGGACAGAGCTCAACACCCGAAGACTGAGAACCAGACGGGCTCGGGGGAAAGAGAGAAGAGACGATCTGCGGAGCGATAGAAGCTGCGCTGGCAAGATGACAGAGAAGAGAGAAGGAAGGAGGCGGTTATGTCAGAGTGGGGAACAGAGCGGGAGCCGGCGTGGGCGGGCCTGGGCCGAGTTAATGAGGTGGAAATAAGCTCAGAACTGCCAATGGGGCGAACAGGGGCTTAGCAAAGGGGGCTACAGGGTTATGTCTTTGAGCACAAGTCCCTTGTGTTCACCGTTCTCTAAGTGCTGGATGAAGTTCTGGATGCGAGATGAGCAAAACACCATCCCCACGTGCAGCATCTGGGTCTGGAAGGAGAGATAGGGCTCTGGAGGCAGCAAAAAGTGAATGATCGCTCTACTTAGGGGGTCCTAGCCGATGTGGGAGGACCCAGGAGACATCTAAAGAATGCAGAAGACTCAGGTACTGGGAGACGATGGGGAAGGCATTTAAAGCAGAGGGAACTGCATTAACAAAATCCTGGGGGTGAGGGGCGGAAGGAACATTAAAAATACAAGTCTGCTTGGGATAATGCAGCAATTGGTCCATTGGACTAGAAGGCAGGGTGGTGGTTCTCAACCTTTACTTCACCAACGACTTCTCTCATCATCCGAATTCGTGTTTGTTTGTTTGTTTTTTAAATCTTATTGAATTTATCAGGGTGACATTGGTTAATAAAATTATACAGGTTTTAAGTGTACAATTCTATAGTACATCGTCTATAAATTGTGTTGTGTGTTCACCACACAAGGTCAAGTCTCCTTCCATCATCATTTATCCCTCCTTTACCCTCTTATACCTGCCTCTACCCCCATTTCCTTCTGGTAATCACTATACTGTTGTCTGTGTCTATGAGTTTTGTTATTTTTTTCACTTTTTTTCACCCAGTTCCCCCCACTCATGTTTTGAGAGGATTTTATTCACAATCTACCCCCACCTTTGGTGTTTATTAAGGAAGAAAATAATTATTTCCCCATTTTAATTCATCAGGAACATTTAACTAGTAATTAGTAATCAGCATTACCACATTGAGTGTGTATGTGTATGTGTATCTTGGAAAAAAACAAAGAAAGTTCAAATTTTAGCTTAGTTCAACCTCTAAAAGCCATACGATGGGTAAACGTACATTTCAAATAGAGCCTAAAGTCAGGGGCGTAGTGGGCTACAGGTCAGGTAACATAGGCAGTGTGTTGGGGAAAGACCTGGAGTAAACATAGGATTGTGCCAGTTTATGGTCAACTCTGAGCTTCTGAAAGCAATAAGAGAGCAATTGTAGGTTCTTGGTAAGAGCAGGGGAGCGGGGTGGGCAGAAAGCCATAGATGAATTATAGAAAAATTAGTCAGGAGGCAAGCAAGATTGTTTGAATTAAGAGGAAACATGGTAGCAATCCAGTTTCTCCATTCATCACCTCATTTCCTTTATGTAACCAACACATCTACTTTCTAAATCACTTAAATCCTGCTTCCTTTTCTCTATCTCATCACCATGGCTGTGGTCCAGGACACCATCACCTCTCACCAAGATTACTACCAGGACCTGGAAGATCACTAGTAGCCCAGGACCCTTACCCAGCCTTCACAAAGGAAGTCTCAAAGAAAGCAACAACCTATATTCATCATGTCAGTCCCTTTACCTTTGGATCAAAGCCCCAAATGCCCCTTGCTTACTGGTCACAATCCAAACTCCTTAGCTTGATACAGGGTACTCCTCTGGGAGGGGAGGGAAGAATCAAAAGGCAGAAGCAGAAAGAGATAATTTGAGGTGAAGGAGAATTCCCTGGAGAAGTCCATTTCAATTGGTCTTTACTTTTTTCTGTAGGGCAGAAATGTCATTTACTAAAACTCAGAGTAAGAATGGGGCCGGGCAATTAGAAGGAGTTAGATGGCCCTGACCTGTGTGGCTCAGTTGGTTGGACATTGTTCCGCAAAGCAAAAGATTGCATGTTTGCTTCCTGGTCAGGGTACGTGCTGGTGTTGCCTGGGTTTCGGGTCTGGTCCTCAGGCAGGGCACATACGAGAGGCATCCAATCAATGTTTCTCTCCCTCTTTTTCTCTCTCCTTCCCCCCCTCTCTAAAAATAAATTAAAAATACATATTTGTTAAAAGAGTTTAGATGTTCTACAACAGAAAGGGTGCAAGACTGCATAAAAGTACACAGATAAACTTGAATGGCACGATGGTTTTCTAATTTAAAAAGAGTGATTTAAATTGAGGTTTTGTTCTTAATACATATCTATCATGTATATTCCTTTGCACATATCCAACATAAGTTATTAATTTTTTTGGTCTTTCTACAAAAGAGAAATCCTAGAATAGTCACTGAGAACCCCATAGAGAATCAATGATAAAGGGTTTAGAAAATTGTATTTCTGAGTGTTTATTATGCAAATAAATATATTACTTTAGATGGGAAAACTGAGTTTTGGTTCAGAAGGGTAACTGGCTTGTCTATGGTAACATAGCTAGAAAGTGTGAAATTTCAAGCTTGAATCAACGTGTGTTTGTCTTGGTAATATAGAGCGAATCTACATGGTTTAAATATAATCTTCACTATAAACATGAGTACATGTTGGTATGAAAAATTTGCCAGGATTGTGATGTCCAGTGTCCACTGTACAAAATGACAGGGGAACCGTCTTTCTTTGAGGACCTCCCTTCTCTCAGTTTAGCAAGGCGTGTCTTTCATATTTTTGATTGCTCCTGTTAGATTCACTCCTTCCAGTTTTGGCCTCATCTCTTCTTTCACCTTATTCATAATGGAGCAGGGTTCCCTTAGATCACAGGGGTAAATAATCTGTTCTAGAAGGAGAATCTACCAGTGGGCAGCAGCATGAAGGGCTTCTGCTGGGAAGAGTAGGTATGGGGAGAAGGGATGATGGAATCTTTGGATCAGGAGGTATGGTGAGATTCAGAATAGGCAATAGTTCACAGTCAGAGGAGTTGGCTGAAAAGAGTGACAGTGTTCACTATAGAATTCCAAGGAATATTTTAGTGTTCAGGCCCCACAAATCTGAACAATTCCCATGGGTAGTGGGGCACGTCATAGCTGGATGATTTAGGCCATTGAGGAGAAAGCCAAGAGGGCTGAGCTACATCTCCATAGTCACTAACATCATTATTTCAGTATACCACCTTCTTTCAGTAAATGCAATCGATACAAACTCACATTTATAAGACATAAATTAAGACATACTTAATCATATTACTGAAGGATTCTTTCCAGAATTTCTTCAACTATGTGGTTCCCCTAGTAACTTTCCAATGAAGTCCAATGCATAAAATTTCATTAACACTCAATGCACCAAGGTAGGAAGATAGCAACAGGAAATAAAGAAATGAAGGAATAGGATTAAAAGGCCTGAGTCTGAGTCCTCTCTGTTCTCTTAGAGCCCATCCCTTACCTGTAAAGTGCTTGGGACCCTTACCTGTAAAGTGAGGACTAATTTTAGACTGCCTCCAATGCCATGACTTTCAAATCCTGATCTTCCTCTATCCAATCCTACAAAGCAGAATAGATTCATGTATAAGAAGTCTTCTCATCCTCTAGGTCTGCTGAAAACAGCCAAAAACACCAGCCAGCACCTCAACCTCAGGAGCCCAGTGTAGCTCGCTCTGTCTGTCCTGGGATTGTCCTGTGCTTCTCCCACATCACTCTAACCCCAGCCACATTCAGTGTTTCTACCATATCCTCCCTCCGCTCAGAGTTTTCTAGGGTCCCATCTCCTCTGAACTTATAGAAATTATTATAATCTACCATGTCAGCCTCCCTGCTCCATTAAAATTATACCCTCAACCATCTCCTGTTTTCCCCAACATGCTCCTCCCCACCACCTCTGAGCTTTCACCTATGAAGTCTCATGATACTGCTCAAGGAAACTTTCCCAGATTGGCTGACCCCAGGGCTGCCACATACAGTTGTACATTTTGTGGACTACACAAAAGCACACACTGAGAGGGCAAATTGAGAACTGAACTGCATTTAGCTTACCAATTCTTCCACTGTGGTTCAGAGCTGTGTCTACTGGAGGCATTCCCCTCATTATTAATATCACCTGCTTTCCAAGCTGCATGTCACACATAAGGAATCCATCTGCCCAGAGAGGTTTGTACCAAAGTTCTTTGTAGACCAGCAATGTGATCCCAGTTGTGTCCTTCCTGCCCTCAGTATTCTCCAGTTCCAAACCTTATTTCCCATCATCACAACTGTACTCACATATATTATCAATTCTTTGTAAAGTTGCTTTTTTAAAAATCTCATAACATCTGAAAGCTGGGATCTTGCCCATTTTTCAGTGTCCTGGTACCTAAAAAAACTTCTTTCCCCCTTACTCTGTTCAAGCTCAAAGATAAACAGGAACTGAGATTAGATATCAGGTAAAGCACAAGACCTACAGGATCAGTAAATCAAACGAGGGGTTTGGTAGTGAGGCTAGACTCAGAGCAGCAGGGACTGAGGCAGTGGTCTGGCTGATCCTCCTTCCTGAAGGCCCTGCCAGCCCTGTGATGTCCCCCTCCAGGAAATGGGCCAGTTCTATGCAAATGTGTTCTTGCCCAGGAGTTTGGTTTCTTCTCTCAGAGCTCCTGGCACAGTGGAACCAATGTGAGCGGTTGCTTGGCAGGACGGAGAGGGGCAGGCTAGCAGTCCCAAGGCTCAAGTGACAGGACCAGGCCCAGGAGACAGGGATGTTGACTGGGGCTTTAACAGCCTTCCTGATGCCAATCTCAGCTGAAAACTCGATATTTCCACTTAGAACAAGAAACACCAGCCAGGAGCAGGGGGAAAGGAAGGCCATGTACCAGGAGTGCCCCCTGCAGGTCTCACTGGGTGGCACCAGAACAGAGGAAGGAAGCACAAGGTGGGTGGAAGTCTCAGGAGATGCCTGGGATGAGGAGCATAACCAGGAGAAGGAAGGATTTAGCAAGTGTTTTACTGCACATTTACAGTGTGGTAGGCATTGCCTCATGTACCATATTTTGCCATGTATAACATGCACCCATGTTTTGTGCACATTACATGCAAAATTATCATACCGAAGTAAAATGTACATCCTTATTTTTCCCTCAAAAATGTGGGCAAAAAGTGCGCATTATACACAGCAAAATGAGGTAATCCTCCTGACAAGCCCGGGAGATGGGTAATATGGTTATTTTCATTTCTTAGGTGAAGAAACTGCATACTTGCCCAAAGCCACCCAGCTGGTAGTAGACAGAATTGGGATTTGAACCCAGGTCACTGCCTCCTGAAATCATATTATTCAGTTCCATCTTTCCATCTTGCCATTTCATTCTAGGAACCTTTAAACCTCTTGTGTTCATTTCTATCTTTTCCTGCTCTTCTAGATCATATCTTCCTGTTACAACTTTAAGAAACCTGGAGAACAGATCAATAATAATACTGATAATAACACCACCTGATGTTTGTATACCACTCTCTGCTTTTCATTATTTCCCTGGAGAAAAATGAACATTGAAGTATTTCCATTTCTCCAAAATTTTCCCCTGATTTGTATTAGTGTTGCTAGTTATTACTATACAATTATCATCAGTTTATAAGAATACTTTATGCTTTTTTCATGTAATAATGCCTATCCGCACACTTATGTATATGACCATAGTAACTGATTATATTGCTATGCCACAGATATTACATTATTAAGGTGGTGTAACTTTGTGAAAATAGCACAGAGAGTAACACAGATGTGCGAGTTTGACTACCATCTCTGCCATTATTCAAACTCTATGATGTTTGGTAAATCATTCAGCCTTTCTCAGTTTTAGTTTTCTCATCTATAAATGAAGAATATAATACCTATCTCATTGGGTATCTCACAGGGTTTTTAAATGAAGTATGTGCCTACTTCATAGCTAATGCTCAACAAATGATTAGCAGTAGTGTTAGTATTTTGGGTTTAAGTGCCTCTCTCCTCCCTTGGACCATAAGCTCTTCTGGGCAGAGACTTACTCATTTCTGTAACCATCCCCACCTAGCACATTGCTTGACACTTGGACTCCATAAACATTTGTTGAATGAATAGTTAGTAAGCTCTAACCTAGGCTTTCCTCTCTGTTGGACATTTGAATTGTTTCTAGAGTTTTTGCTATCCACAAAATTAACTTCAAAGACCTTCTATTTATATATTGCCTCATTTGATCTGCATACCTGTGATGTAGGTGGAAAGGGGCTATTTGCACATGTCCACACCCTGTGATAGATGGAACAACTGTGGCTAAGGGAAGTGAAGTGATTCCTATGGGTCACATCACTAATTAGTAATAATGATAAGAATACTCTACCCTGCTTCCCTTCTTTGGGTGGATATCTTTTCCCCCTAGCTATCTCTATATGGATCAGGGTGGCCTCTCCAAAAATGGAGACTGGGAAAGTGTGCCTGGCTGGAGAGCAGAACTTGCACCCAGAGACACCTCTTGGAAGTAATAAGCTGCCAGCTCCCAGATGGTCCTTTGAATCCCCAGGAAACCAAACACTTTATTCCCAAATACATCCAGGCCTGTATTTTCCCAGAGCAAGGAGCTTCCTAGGAAAGAGCAGGCATGCTAGCTTTTTTCTTTCTTTTTTTTCTTTCCTGAGGGGGTGAGGAAAAAAAGCTCTGAGTTGTCCAAGAGGAGGGACTTTGCTAAAAATAACGACAGCGTGTGGATCAGCCTCTAGTGGTACCCAGACCTGGGAGGGGGGATGCTCTAGAACTGTCGCCAGACTGGTTGCTATAGAAACAGGAGAGGAGCAGGGGAGCCTGGGAAGTGGGGATGACACAGATAGCAAGTCCTAGTCAGAGCTGCCGCTACATTTAGGAGAAACAGCAGTGTCTGCGGCTCTCACCCTCCAAGGGGACTGGGGTGTGGGGGCAGTGTCAGGGGTATGGACGCTTCCCCCCAGGGGTCTTTGCTGCCGGCTGCTCTCCTCTCCACACACTGTGAGTTGAGTCGTGGGGGACTTGGGTTTGGGCCCCTATTTCCAAGACAAGTGGGGATTTGGGAAGAGCTGTTTCCTAAGGGAGTTTTCACCAGATCCTTTTCCAAAATATAAGCCTCCTTGCTGGCAAGCACTTCCTAGGGGGAGAAAGGGAGATCCAGGAAAATGTGGCATTGGGGTCTTTTGGAAAGGAGTCACAGTATGCACAAAAAATAACAAGGAGTAGGCTGGAGGAACAAGACTCTTTGGAAGGATGGGATGGTGCAGAAAACAAATCTTTGGTCCTGGGATAGAGGTAGTAACAATTCCACACCATTCTTTCTCCTGAGAAAAATGCAGCCACCACTCAGGAAGACACAAAGTAAGGCCCACCTAGATCCCTGGGGCAATGGAGAGCAAGAGAGTTCTCGGGGTGATCCGACTCTGGGGTTCATTCCCCACCCCTGGGGAAAGAGGTCTGTCTCAGCAGGCCAACTGGAGGTCACATTACCTAAAACCCTGAAAAAAATCTGGAAGTACACCTGAAGCTAGGATAAGTGAAACTGATGTACTTTTCTGCATGACCTGGGGGTCTGTGGGCCCCCCAGGGCTTAGAGACCACTTCTTAAGGACATCCTGGGCTGCAGGGAGGGAAAGGGAAGCCCACTGCTGGGGGAGGGCAAGACCCTAATCTGCAATTGCATTGGGGATCCTAGACCCTATGTGCCCTGGTTCTTCCTGGAAAATAAATTTGGGGGTGGCCCTAGTTCTAAGACATCTTATGTGGGTTTCTCCTCCTGTCCCAATGCATGCGCATGCACACACACACACACACACACACACACACACACACACACTGCCTCCAAGGTCTAACTGCAGAGTACCTCACTCCAGACTTTAAATCTGGAGCACTGGGTTTGGGGTTACATATCCAGGCTGCTTCTCCTCAGGACCTGGTCAAACGTCCAGGCCATCTGTGATCCTCATGTCACACTCTTCCCCTCCAAAGGCCACCCCAAACAGCTCAGGTTTACTTTTAAGTGGGGAAAAAGGATGATTCCCAGGAAGAAAGGCTGAAAAGTCTTGAGTCCTTATTCTAAACCAGGAGATGGTCCACATCGCCTAGGGCCTCCCGGGTCCCTGGGTGAGGGCCCTGGATCTCTCTCAGGGCCGACTGAAGCTCCTTCCAGAGCAAGAATTTGAGGCAAAAGCACATGGGCTTCTCTTGGAATGTGAGCTTTGGGGTATTTGGGGAGGGGGCTGTTAGGATAGTCAGTGGGAGGTAAGATGTTGGGGGAAAGAACTGGAGGGGGGGAGGATTTTGTGGGTGCTTAGGGCTTCACTGGACCTGATTTATTACTTCTCATGAAGAGCAAGATAGCAGAGAGATACAAGCCTAACTCCTGATGAACTTTCTGCTTCCTTTACCCTGAGTATTTGTATTGAAGCCTTATCTTCTAGTCCTCTGGCCCATTTTCATGCTGTCTCCACTGTGTAAAGAATCCAAGGAAAATGGGGTGATTCTACAGCAGAAATGAGCATGGTTAGTGCTCAGGGAGGGTTTCCAGTGGGACTTTCCTAGTGTGGGAATTTTCAATCCTTGCCCACTAGAAATCTTTTGCTTCCTCTCTCCACTTCCACTTCTCCTTTGTAAGCTTGTTGAGAGGAGGAAGATATGGGTGGGGATACAGTAAGTAAGGTCCATGGGGAAGGCACTGGGATTTTCTGTGTGTCAGTCTTGAGGTGAGCTTCAGAAGAGCCTGGTTAGACCATCAGGTTGAATTGTGGAGAACACGGATTAGGGGACTGCCCTTGACAATAGCTGGTGGGGGCGGGGGCAGTACAGCAGTGATCAGCAGGTGTGTCACATGAATTTTTAAAATATGCAATACCTGCCCTTGCTGGTGTGGCTCAGTGGATTGAGTGCCAGCCTGCGAACCAACGGGATACCTGTTCAATTCCCAGTCTGGGGCTCATGCCTGGGTTGCGGGTTGGTCCCCAGCTGCGGGGCAGGGGTGGGGGGGGGCATGTGAGAGGCAGCCACATGTTAATGTTTCCCTCCCTCTTTTTCTCCCTCCCTTCCCCTTTCTAGAAATAAATAAATAAAATCTTCGTTAAAAAATAAAATAAAATATAAAATACCTGACTAATCAGGGGCACTGACCTCTTTTCCCTTAGACGGTCAAATAAAAAAATGACAACAGCCAACACAACAATAGGCATGTGGTGTGAATGAATAAAAATTATACCTTTTTTTGTGTGTCAGATCAGCAAAAAAAAAAAAAAAAAAAAATTTTTTTGGTGTGCTGCAGAATTTTAGTAATTAGTTTGTGTGCCATGAGATGAAAAAGATTGAAAATCGCTGCAGTAGTAGTAGATTAACTGTCTGCCTCCAAGCCCACAGTCTAATGATTTCAGGAAATTGCCCCCATCCCTGGGTCTTTTGTCCTGGGATGCCAGCAGAGCGCTGCACACCCTAGTTAGAGGTGGTAAGTTCAAGGTTTCCGGTACCGCCTTCCCCTGAAAATAATCATCAAACTTGAACAGTGCTACTCAGTTCAAATACATTATCCCACTCGATACTCATGACTTTGTGAGGTGTGGGGGCAGCGAGGGTTGTATGTCCTGTTCCCATTCCTGGGAACTGATGCTGGCATTGAGGCAAAGAGGCGCGAAGGACCTTGTTCAGGGCCACCCAGTCTCTCGGTGCTGGCCCAGTCGTTTGTGCCTCTCCCATGGGTCTGTTCATTGGGTCAATTTTTAAGTCCCTGCAGGAGCCGTGACACCACAGAGAGGCGGCGCAGACCCCAGAGTGCGCGGAGGCGGTGACACCAACCCTGACCGTGACCGCAGCCCCCGCCTCCGCCATGGCGCAGGAGAATGCCGCCTTCTCCCACGGCCCTGAGGAGCCGCCCCGTCGCCGCGGCCGCCAGCGTTACGTGGAGAAGGACGGCCGGTGCAACGTGCAACAGGGCAACGTGCGCGAGACGTACCGTTACCTGACCGACCTGTTCACCACTCTGGTAGACCTGCAGTGGCGCCTCAGCCTGCTCTTCTTCGTGTTGGCCTACGCGCTCACCTGGCTTTTCTTCGGCGCCATCTGGTGGCTCATCGCCTACGGCCGTGGCGACCTGGAGCACCTGGAGGATACGGCCTGGACGCCCTGCGTCAACAACCTCAACGGCTTCGTGGCCGCCTTCCTCTTCTCCATCGAGACGGAGACCACCATCGGCTACGGGCACCGCGTCATCACCGACCAGTGCCCCGAGGGCATCGTGCTGCTGCTGCTGCAGGCCATCCTGGGCTCTATGGTGAACGCCTTCATGGTGGGCTGCATGTTCGTCAAGATCTCGCAGCCCAACAAGCGTGCTGCCACGCTCGTCTTCTCCTCGCACGCCGTGGTGTCGCTGCGCGACGGCCGCCTCTGCCTCATGTTCCGCGTGGGTGACCTCCGCTCCTCGCACATCGTCGAGGCCTCCATCCGCGCCAAGCTCATCCGCTCGCGCCAGACGCTAGAGGGCGAGTTCATCCCGCTGCACCAGACCGACCTCAGCGTGGGCTTTGACACAGGAGACGACCGCCTCTTCCTCGTCTCGCCGCTGGTCATCAGCCACGAGATCGACGCCGCCAGCCCCTTCTGGGAGGCATCGCGCCGTGCCCTCGAGAGAGACGACTTCGAGATTGTGGTCATCCTTGAGGGCATGGTGGAAGCCACGGGTGCGGGCGGGAGGAGGGGTGGGGGTGGGGGGCGCGGGCAGGGCTGAGGAGGGCAGGGGCTAGAGAAGGGGCCAGGGACAGGGGGAAGGTTAGACCAAAAGGCTGGTGGAGTGTGAGAGAATGAGGTGAGATAGCAGACCTCCGTTGGGTGGGACATGTGAGCAGAGTGACCTCCTAGAGAGGCCAGAGAAAGCTAGGAGGGACTCCCCGAAGTGGCCCTGGCCTGGGGCGCTGGGCTGAGAAGTCTGTGTCCTTGGGAATAAGGGAGAAGACTAATAATAGCTACCACTTGCCCCGTGCTTTTCTGTCTTGCGCATATCCAAAGCACCTCAAATCTCTGAGTTTATTTAACCTAAAGCAGAACCCCATGAAGATAACGTCTTGTTATTGTGCTCATTTTTCAGAGAGTGACTGCCCCAGTGAAAAGTTGAGTAAGTTGTCCACAGCCATACGCTAGTAAGTGGCCATGCCTGGAAAGGACACAGGCAGTCTGGTTTCAGTGTTTCGTGGTACAGAGTTGGAAGCGGGGGTTAGGTTCCCAGTTTTTGTTATTCTGAGAGTTCTGTGTCCCTGGAATTTCATGGTGAGGGTTTTCCATGGCCTGAGTTATTCCTAGGCTGGATTTTAATGAGAGGTTGATGCCTTAGCTCACTTCTGCCTCAGTTTCCCCATGCAGCAAAAGATTCTCAACTTCCACTGACAAATGAAATGGATGCTGTTAGCATTTCTAGCCATTTCTTAGCAGCAACTAGCAATGTACCTGTATGTCAGTACCTCCAACTCAGGCATACAAAGTGAAGGGCTTGGAAGCAGGTAGGGAGAGGCTGGTGCCAGGGCAGCCAATGCGGTCCCTTAGGACTTGAGATCTCAGGGTTGGGGGATAGCCAAAGGCCCATGTAGTTCCTGCCACTGCTGTCAGAACTTTTGCACCCTGCTGGCTTCTCGCGCAAGTCTCTCTCTCAAACCCCTTCCTGGCCCCTTCAAGATGATCCTCCACACACCACCCTCGCCTCATTGTCCCCCTTTCCTTCTTAACCATCCCCAGGTTCCCCCTAGCTTTTTCCTTCCCCCCTCAGCCCACCCCCTTTTCTCTCTGTCCCTCTAGCTCTTGCTGTTTTGCCAGTACCTGAGGCAACCGGTGTCCTTACAAAGATGTCCCTGCCCAGTCGCCTTCTCCCTTTGTACCTAGCCCCTCCCTCTCTCCTCAGGGTCCCTTTTGTCTCTCCTTCTCCTCCCCCACTAGATTCTTTTTATTCCAGCCTTTATCAAAGGGAGGGAGGAAGGAAGCATAACCAAGACCCCAAGGTGTCTCAGTGTGGAGCTTGCCATAGTGAGAGCCAGTCTCTGGTTAGCTGATGTTCAGCCTTCTGTTTCCCCTTGTTCTGAGGTGAACATGGGCTGAGGTGGCTGCTCCCTGGGGGTAGGAGGAGAACCACTTGCCCTGGGGGTATGCCCACCCAACAGGGAGGGCAGGACACAGGCCCAGGGAAAGGAGGGTGGGGTGGAAAAGATAGGGATGGAAGCTTGTCTGACTTTTCTAGGGTGGCAAAGCTGGAAAGGATGGTATTATTTTGGGTGTGAGAGTCAGGATTCAAATGCTTTTGAAAAGCAAGTGTAATGAGCCAAAATCCAAAAAGATGACATTTAAAAGGAGTAAATATAAAAGTCTACATTTAGGCTTTTAAAAAAATCACTTATGTAAGCACAGCATGGAAGAGCTCTGGTGAAAAAGAACTGAGAGTTTTAGTTGGCCACAAGCTTAATGTCACAGCAATATGATACAGCTTCCAAAATGTTTATGTAATGTAATTTTGGGCTCTATTAGTTAAAGCAGCATGGCCAGAAGAGAGAAGTGGTATGCCCTCTCTTATGCAAGGAGCAGGCCTCAACTGGAGTACTTATCACAAAGTACTTAAAGGATCCTCCTTGGCCATTCTGGTTTACAGTGAAGAAAGTAAAATTTTGGAAAGCCAGGACACATGAGGAATGCTGGAGGGTAACGGGGATGTTCAACCTGAAAAAGAGAAGACAAGTTAGAACCTGAGACTCCTGTTTTCAGATACTTGAAGGGGTGTCATATGGCAGGGGAATGAAATGAAAAGGTGGAAATCCCAGGAGGCAGATTTTAGCTCTGTATAAAGAACAACTCAACTATCAGAGCTATTATGCAAAGGAGTGAGCACCTTGTGAGGTGGCGAGCTCTCAGTTCTGGGAGCAAATCAAGTACAAGCCAGATGCCCACAATTGGGAATGCTACAGTGGGGAGCCCTGAATGAGGAGAGAAATTGGACTAGAAGATCCCCAAGTTCAATTTTCAGGTTAAGCTTCTCTGATTGGCATCTCCAGTGGAGAGGCAGGGAGGGAGCAGGTTGGTGATGAAAAGGAATTGAACAAATGGAGAAGAGATGAGAGCTAAGCTTGCACAAGACTTGGGAAGGGAAAGAAAGTGGGCTGGACCAAAAAGGGGTGGAACCCTTGGGAAGGAATATAAGGAAGAGTGCTGGGAATAGGGTGGTAGAGTGAGAGGCAGGAGAGGGAAGCCTAGTGTTGGGTTCCCCCTGACCCTTGCCCCTCCCTCCAGGGATGACATGCCAAGCTCGGAGCTCCTACCTGGTGGACGAGGTGCTGTGGGGCCACCGCTTCACATCAGTGCTGACCCTGGAGGATGGCTTCTACGAGGTGGACTATGCCAGCTTCCACCAGACTTTTGAGGTGCCCACACCCTCATGCAGCGCCCGGGAGCTGGCTGAGGCAGCAGCTCGCCTTGATGCTCATCTCTACTGGTCTATTCCCAGCCAGCTGGATGAGAAGGTGGAGGAGGAGGGGGCAGGGGAAGGGGCAGGGGGAGAGGCTGGGGCTGACAAGGAGCAGAATGGCTGCCTGCCACCCCCAGAGAGTGAGTCTAAGGTGTGATCAGTTTCTTCCAGACCCCTCTGGCAGGACCAGACACAGGTATCTAGGGAGCTGGATATTGGAGGTGGAGAAGGAGGCAGTGAGATCCCTGAGAATGGAGAGTCCCCTCAGAATCTCAAGTCCAGGATCCAATGTGGAAGGGAGGGATCCTGATTTCAGACGAACAGAGGGTGGGGATAAGTGAACTTACCAGCCTGTCTGTGTTTGACCTTCACATCTGTTCATGGGTGGATGGATGGACAGAAGAGTGAACTTATGTAGATTGGATGGGTAGATGGAAGCAGATAAAAGAGAGAGCTGGTAGATAGGTAAGTAGACCGACAGGTAGGTGGTGCACTCAGGACTGCTGCTAACCCACAGAGCATCTTTGTGCAAATTTTACAAAGGCACCCTTTTTCCCCAGACTGACACCAGCCCAAACCAGGGTGAGTGGCTTGGGGAACAGAGTGTGGGCTGGATTTTAGTCCCCACTCACTTCCTCAGCCAGCCTCCCTGTGTGTGGCACACCTGTCTCACCAGATACAGTAACCCCACCTGACCCAGAGGAGAGCTGGATGGAGGTGGGCAGAGATGAGGAGGTGCCCTTCCAGCTCTACCCCCACCATTATGACAGGCTGGGCAGGCAGATGAAAGGCTGTAGGGATAGCTCAGGAGGGTGTAAGTGACCTTGTCTACTGCATAGGGAAACAGGAAGTGGGGAGCTTCCAGAGCTGGGACTCTGGGAAAGGAGACCTCTTTTCTGACAGTGTAGTGAGACTTCTTAAGTACCTCTGCAGATGTAGGAGGGGAGAGGTTCTGAGGAGGAAGAGGGCCAGGGAGAAATGGAGACGTGATGTCACTACAGTTGGGACACAGGGGCCCTTGGGAAAGCAGAATTAGACTTGGGGCACAGTGAGAGGAAGTCATTCATATTGTTCAATTAGTATCCATTGGGTACAGAACACTCAACCAGGCACATGGGGGACAGACAGTCAGAGACCCATTTCCTATTTCAAAATATAGTGTACATGGGCAAAACAGAGAAATGTGCCTATGGCAACTGTTTCAAACTGAGAACCTGAGTAGGGGTAGAAAGGTTTGGTAATCAGAAGCTAGGGATTGAGCAAGGCACAGAGAATGAGCTAAACCAGCAGCTGTAACACTTGAGAGTGCATCAGAGTCACCAGGAGGGCTTATAGAAATAGACACTTGCTTCACTTCCAGAGTTTCTGCCTCAATAGGTCTGAGGTGGAGAGCAAACATTTGCATTTCTAATGGGCCCCAGGTCATGCTGACACTGCTGGAATAGGGGATCCCAGGTTGAAAACCACTGCTGTAGTGGAACACTGGGAGGTCACATCAGGGGGCGGAGCATACAAGCCGAGGAGTAGCTGAGAAGCTGAAAAGTCTTGGGGTGGAGACTGAAATATAAAGGGTAGAGTCTTGTGCATGGGGAAAGGGGACCCTGAAATCCAGGCTGATGAGTTTAACTCTAGGCCCAGGAACTCAACCATCAGTGGAAATAAGGCAGTGACAACTAAAGATAGTGTTTGGGGAAAGATAAGTTCAGACAGAGGGAGGCGGCCAGGAGGCCTTGAGGGGATTCCAGGGGAAGTGATAGGGAGCTGCAGCAGGAAATGGCAAAGGAAAGAATCCCAAGTAAATTCTTGGTTTCACAGTGGCATCCTTGCCGCAAGCATTTTTGCCACATAACTAATTGGCTATAAGGCAATTTTGTCATTAAAAGGAAGGACATTTTTTAAAAGACTTTATTTATTTATTTTTACAGAGGGGAAGGGAGGGAGAAACAGAGGGAGATAAACATCAATGCATTGTTGCGTCTTACGCACCCCCTGCTGGGGACCTGGCCTGCAACCTAGGCCTGTGCCCTGACTGGGAATTGAACTGGTGACCCTTTGGTTCACAGGCCAGTGCTCAGTCCACTGAGCCACACCAGATAGAGCAAAAAGGAAGGACGTTTAAAAGGACATAAAAATTAAAGACTTTTATTGTGATATGCAAAGCATTCAAATACATTTGAAAAGTGTGTAGACTCATGGCAATACTGCACAAGTCACTTATTTTACTTTAAGGTTGTGCCTAAGAACTAAGTACTAAGTCTTAGTTCTGTGGGAAATGTGGGTTTAACTCTGCACCTCCAAAGAGAGACCTCAGCTTCTATTTCTCCCCTCAATGTAATGTATTTCACAACCAACTCTTGAGGCAAATCTTCATCATTTGGAAGAAATGCTAACTATTTTAAGACCTGCATCACATCTACTTGTCACTGTATAGACCATTATGAAAATTAAGGTTTACATATAATATAAAAATGGGAGTACTGCAAGAACTTTTACGAATGGAGAAATGAAACCAAAATGACAACTAGCTTAAATACATTGTCTGCTGAACTGATTGATTTGTCCATGGAAAAATGAAACCAAACACCCCCCTCCCCCATGCTGTCAATCAGTTATTTTCTCTCTCTCACAGCAAAATTGCCTTATGGTCAATTATTATGCAGTGAAAATGTTTTGGGCAAAACTGCTTGCAGCGAAGATGACTGCAGCAAAGATGCTACAATGAACATACCAGATGCACCCTTGTAGGACTTCAGAGGCAGGATTAAATGTGGCAGAGAGGTGAGGCATCCAACATCTGGTTGTATCTGTGGCCTATGGTCTGCCCAGTTAGGACAGAAGACTCTGTAGGTGCTATTCCCATCCCACATCTCTACCCCTCTTCCTGTGTCATCCCAATCACCAAGGGCAGCTACCCAGGATGGTGAGTGCAGAGCAACAGCAAGTTGAGAAGAAACAGAGTTAAAGGGGACCTGAGGCTGGCCTCCTGGGAGAAGAGCGTGTGCCCAAGCAGGCATGCCCTCTGACACTGGCTATACCCCACTCCTGTCCTTCAATAAAAGTCTAGGCCCCTTGGGGGAAAACACCCTACTCTGCTCCATCCCAGGCTGGGAAGCTGAGGTCCAGTGGGACCTGTGCCTCCTGAAAGCAGATATAGGGATTCTAGAGGGAACCCATGCCAGTTTGGGTTCACTGAGAGAGGACATCTTTGCCTCAGGTTGCAGGGCCATGAGAGTCATTATCAAAGATGAGGTGCCGGAACCCTGATGTCACCTGAAGAACAAACACTAAGATGCAGGCTGGAGAGTCATTGTGGTTTAACTCAGTGAAAAGGCTGGAGTCTCAATAGGAGAGATTAGGCCATATCCACACTCTAGTGAATCCATTGCAATTGAATAGGGAGACACTGAGGCTGGATGGAAGTCATGAGACTCCACCATACCTTTCCTTGCCACTCAGGGCACCATTGGGTACAGTGTAAGGAGTCATGAGACCTAGATTCTAGCCCAGATACTGTCACTAATTAGCTCTATTACTCTAGGTAAGTCACATCACTTCTCTGGGATTCAGTTTCCCGATCTGTAAAAGTAACACTTAGCAAACTAGTAATGCTTAATAAATGTTTACATAACTGAATTGAATGAGGTAGACTGGGTGCCTCTTAAGGTACAGTGCAGTAAGAATTCTAAGATTAAAGAACCCTTAGGCAGAGGGGTGAGGTAAGACCTGGGGGTACCTATGGGCGCAGGCGTATGCAGGCCCCACTTTGACTGCTGTTGTACCCACCACCCAGGCAGGGCTGTGTTCTGCGGCTTCTATTCTGCTGCTGTCAGAATAATGAAGATGGGGAAGAAAAGTGCTGAGGCTCCAGGGCCAGTGGGAGGAATCACGTCCAAGACCAGCAGGATTAGCAGAATGAGAGGGCAGAGTGGTGCCGGGAACTCAGAATGGGCATGGCCCCAGAAAGCCTGTGCCCTGCAACCTGGGAGCAGCTGGGAGAAGGCACCCCCCTTGAGGAGTTCCAATAAGAATTGGCTCAGCACAGACAGCTAAGACAGCAGATGGGACCCAGGTGTCCCTTCCTGGGGTGGGCGGCATGGCCCACAGAGGCCAGATGGTGTTTGTGGTGGGAAGAGAGGCCTGGGTCATCCAGAATAGGTTGTCAAGCCGCAATAACCCCCCTGCCATATCTCAAAGCTTCGTACAGCCTGATGGCAGGAAAAACACAGCTGCTCTGGGTTTTATAAAACAAGTTTATTCACATTTTAGAAAAACGAATTCTACAAGAGGGAAGGCCTCCCTGCAGGTTGGGTATGAAATCAAGATCAGAAAGCCAGAGAGAGGAGTCAGGAAGGAAAGAGTGGGAAATGGAGGCTGTGCCCCCAACTCCGGGTGGGGATGGGTCAAATAAATTAAAGGAAGGGCAGACAGAGGGAGAGGGTATCCAGGCAACCAGAGTTGGGCTTGGAGCTGGGCTGGAAGACAGTCAACACCTGTGAGAACTGGAGAGAAAGCATGGAGTAGGCTAAGGAGAGCCCTGAGTAGGGCTCCTCCCAGCGCTCTTGGGGTGAACAGGGTCTTGCAGAGAACTGCCCCTCCTCCAGGTGGGGCCAGGGAGCAAGCAGCTCATCTCAGGGCTTGAGAAGGCAAGGCTGGGGGTTCTTTTCTCTTACCTGGAAGGGCAAAGGATCACCGTTTTCGCAGCCTCTTCATGAAGCAGCAGGTGATGGTGCTAAGGATGGTGGCGCCAGTGACTAGGGCAACCCCTGCACCCACCAGCAGGGGCACGAACAGGGTGTCCAGGGCTGGGTGAGAGACAATGGCTGTGTTCAGCCTCAGGTACCACTGCCCATCACACACTGTTCTGCTTAAGTCCCAGCACCTTTTCTATTAAGTTGTCTGTACCCACTTCCTCCTCAGTCACAGACAGCCCTCCCAGCCCACTCCCTGCCCTCTCTGCATTCAAGTGAAACACTACCACCAAGGACCCTGGCGAAGATGGGTACTAGGGGGCTGAAAACTGTATTTTCAAGACTCTTCATGTAAAGAGATGTGGGCATAAAGAGGGGACAGTAGTAGAAGGATCAGATAGAAAGGGAGGAACAAGAGCGTGGTGCTGGAGGAAGGTGGTGAGGGGAGAGCGGGAGTCACTCACCATGCATGTAGGGGTAGACTGTGACAGGCCCCGAACGGGCACTGCCCACCTGGTACCAGCTGTAGTCGGTGTGCTGTACCCAGGCGCTGGGGGCACAGTGGTACACACCTTCATCCTCAGGCCCCAAGCTGTGTAGTCTCAACCGATGGCTTCGGGGCCCCACCAGCTCCACGCTGACAGGGCCTCCTCCAGGCCTGACCCCCAGCTTTGCCACACCATCCTGACTCATGCCACCCACCAGCTGGGCAGAGGCAGAGCTCAGCTCCCTGTCCTCAGGTCGCTCTACCCACCAGTTGGTGGCCAGCCTTAGCCCTGGGGGGCCACCCCGTACAGAGATGTTGCAGAGCAGGGAGGCCGTCTCTCCGCGGTACACTGTGCCTCCTGCCAGCCACGCCAGAGCCTCCAGCACCACACCTGCACAACCAAAGCCATGAGATCAGAGGATGAGGGTTGGGAGTGGGGAGTACCTGGTCAGGACTGCTATGCAAGCAACACTCCAGGAAATTCAGGGTGTCCCCACAATCTTAGGAGTGTGAGACTAAAGCAGAGAGGCAGCTGATAGAGAGTGAGAGAGGGTCATAGTGACAAAAGGAAAAGGGTTCTACAAGCCCAACCAACCCCTCTTACCTTCCTCCCGCACATGCACGGGGAGGGGCCGGGAGCGGGCGCTGGCTGCTTCACGAAGCCGGGCCCCAGACCCTCGGACATAAGCCTTGGCAAGGCAGCGGTATGTGCCTGCGTCGCCAGGCTGGGCAGCTTCCAGCCGAAGCCGGTAGGTTCTGGATGCCACCTTCTCCATGGCAATGTGTCGGCCCTCATAGCCAGGGCCCAGGCTGCCCACACCCTCTGTGTCCAACTGGGCTACCAGGCGGCCAGGCCCAGGTGCCCCTGCAGGTGCCATCTCCCAGCCCACAGAGTATGCAGCATGATGGCCTGGTGGGGGCAGTGCCCCTGACACATTGCACAGCAGTTCCAAGGGTTCCCCTGGGCCAATCCGACGTTCACCAGGTCCCACTGCCACTGCTAGTTGGCTGGCTGAAATGTAGGAAGGGAAAGAAGTCAGGAAGGCAGGAGGAGGCACAGAGTGCCTGACTCCCCAACTGTAGTTCCCTCGACAGCAGCAACTTCGAGGCCACCTATCTGACCCTCACAGGGTATGACCATCTCCCTTACCCAGGGGCCTGATTCACACCTTCCATCACAGCCCTCCTGTCTCCACACCCATCTCTAAGCAGAGAAAACCCATCATGGGTACAGTGGGAAGCAATGTTCACAGGGCTGCTCACTCTAGGGAAGGTGAGCTCCCGAGTCAGACATTGGCCATCTAGTGTCCCCTGTGTCCATGATGCCCACTGAGATATGGCTCCTAGCTTCTGCACTCACACAGAGTCTGCACGTCCACGTGGGCCAGGACAGCCCTCTTCTCCGCTATTTGGGCCCAGGTGCCATCAGGATCCTGAATCCACTCAGTAGCAGTACAGTGGTAGGTTCCAGCATCCTCTGCCTGGGCTCCCCCCACCACCATGCGGTACCTCTCGGCCCCCTCCTTGCCCAGTCGCAGCTCCCCTGCAGCTAGCCGCTCAGCATAGGGAGCACCAGCCTCCACGGCCAGGTCAGGCCGGAGTCCCACCACTTCCTGTAGAGTTGCTCGCCCCACTGGCACCTCAGGAACAGTTCGTCCAAAGGACACCGCCAGGTGTGTGTGCTTCTGCGTGCTTGTCCGAGCCAGGCAGCCCAGTGCCAGCTCCTGCCCCTCATGCACCGTCAGGCGAGGGGGAGAAGTCGGGGCCTGGCGGCCTCGGGGCCCTGGGGAGGTTGCAGACACCTGCAGCACATCTGGAAGAACTGGAGAGCACAGCTGGAGTGAAGGAGGGATGGGAGCTGGCAGCCCTCATTATTGTTTCCTATAGACAACCTATTTCCCTGAATAGACTGTGAGCCCCTATAGGGAGAAGATTTCATTTATGGTGTATTATTTCTTCTGTAACCCAGTGGTGCCATGCACAGTGCTGGGGACACAACAAGCATGCAATAAATACTTGCTGAATATTAAAACCACCCCATTGCCTACTCACCCTTATGTCTGGGACTGCCCCCTGTTTGAAATAATCAGAAAAGTGGCTCTGTCTTCCTTCTCAGAAGACAAAGAAACTTAAGAGAAAAAGACTGTCACGTGGTCTCACTCCTACCCTACTTCTGCTTTCTCCCCTCCTCGCCCAGATCTGGATCCTAGAATTTCTAGTAATGGAGTTTATTCACCCTGTCAGAGAATGAAGAAGGGATCAGAGAATTTAAGGATGCTTCTCCTCTCCCAGGAGGTAATT